CTCACAAAAAATATTTTCAGTCAAGTATTTCTCAGTTTTACATAAAAAGACAAAGAAAACAAAAGAAAAAACACTTGTAATTTCATTAAGGAACAATCTAAAATGAAAGTCTCAAACCAATTCTTCTGATGGTTCTCTTAAGTAACGGAGACTACGAGATCTCGTTCAAAATTTCGAAATGCAGATTAAACGAATTTGATATATTCACACGCGAAAAATTATTTAAAGTACAAAGTGATGCACTAATGTGCAATGCTCATGTGATAGTCAGTGGCAAGAATTATCACACAAATGTTGGTAAGTGTGTTTTTAGAATTAGAGAACACTGGAATACTGGACACTGGACACTGGAACATTGGAACATTGGAAAAGGCTCCTCTCTGAAGTGTCAACTTTAAAACAATTTAATCCTTAAAGAACAAGTCAGATAAGAGCATTGCAAATTTAGATTCGATTAAATACAACACGAGACAACCAAATACAATTAAATACATGACGAGACAATTCACTAGCTGAGTACAGGACGAGACAATGCGCTAGCTGTGGTTGACTGCTGCAACTAAAAGCCTACTTCACTTCAGGAACTTGTCAGGGTGAAGGTTGAACCTTGAACATCCAGGACACACAAGGCAGCGTAAATAGTATGACAGTAGTTGAAGTCTTCGTCTTCAATCCACTTTCACTTCCCTATTAAATAACCATGCCAGTTCTTCAGTTTATATTTGCTATACTTTCGCCCATCATTTTCTAAGCCTGCAGTGTGGCCGGAAGGAGTGGAGAGCGGAAAGAACCTTCTGATTTACTATACTACCTTCGCTTCAATTATCTAAAATCCGAAATAGAGGTGCTCGAAGAGTAGTTAATCCTCAGGAGAAGCTTGTTGTGTATCGTGTGGTCTTCTGTTGTCTGCCTTTCCCATGTACACCCATCATCGTCATCCAGAGACGATAACATCATATAACTATCTACTGCCTCGTATCTATTCCTGAATAAACACTTGGGTTCACCTCTTCACGTGAATAATGTTTTTACCCAGTCGTCGGCAATATAAATGAAAGAGGAATACTCGCACAGTCCCACCAAAAAGAGTCAACACTTCTCTCACTGCATAATTTCAGACGTGCGACGCTGGTGTCTGCAAAACTGACGTCAAAAGCTACAAAAAAGGCAAAGGAAATGTTAGAATGAAAAGTATTAGAGACAGCGAGGTGTACACCAGTAGCAACACCAGCAACACTACCAGTACTGCCACCAACAGCAATGATTCAGGAGAGAGCAAAGTACTCTGGAAAGATGAGAACAAGAGCAGCAAAGATATCGTCTGCGCCTCCTCAAAGAAAGACTGTGAGGCCTATTCTTCCTTCTTCGGATCTCTGTAAGTATTTCTGTACCTTAACACTAGAGAGCCTGTGAGATTCCTTTTTTTATAAATCTATAATATTTATTGTCTATCGTTCAGATCATTTTTTTTCATAAAGATTTTGATTCTACCTCCCCCCCCCCTTTAAAAGAGTAATAACATTTAGAACACTTTTTTGCAAGAAGATTTATAATCTAAATCCTCTTGAAAAAAGTTATCACATTTATATTATAACAAGAAGATTTAGGTCCTAAATCCTCCTGAGAAAGTAATTACGCAGTACCAAACTAATAGCGTGTGTAAGAAAGGGAAATAATTTCCGGGTAAGTTGCTGCACGGTATTGATATGTGGTGATGCCACGGTTGTTTTATTGTAATTATGGTTGGTGTCGTTGTAGGCTAAAAGTGTAGTCTCTGAAGATAACGAGTCTGATACGTAGTGGGAGTTATCACAGTAACTGATTGTAGATAACAGTAAATTGACAGTAGCAACAAGCAGAGCTGGTTAAGGATAATAATAATAATATAACAAATAAATATAATAATAATATGCAATTCCAAATGTAGTACCTCGGTAATAAAGTTAATTAGGGTTGATCCAGGGAAGCGGAGGATGGTTCCAGTTTCCGGGATCAAGAGCTGCTGGTGAAGTTTGAAAGACTATGATAACAACGAGGAGAAATCTCGATATTACAAAGTTGTAACATATCGATAATGAATGAACTCAGCTACTCGGGGTTCGGGGGGGCGGGGGTATATCAACGCTGAGAAATCTGTTGGAAGATTTTTTAATGAAGGTGTAAAGTGACCCCATAGATCGTGCTGCATTGGCTTTTGTAAGAGTATGAAGTGAGGGATGTTTGGTTGCTATAGCAAGTAGGAGGTTGGAGATGGTTTTTAAAAGTATTAGGTGCCTGACGAGAGTTGCATATAAAACCACTCTAAACACAAAAACCTGTTTTAATACAGTTTGTAGGATCATTATTTGAGAGTAGATAATAGTTTTCATTTCTCTCACATTTTTTCAGGATATGGAATTAATATTTTAGAGTCAGATCCCACTTCTATCAAGACAGCTAGGCTCGACTGATGGTAAATGCAGTCTCCTCTTTCAAAACACAAGTAGTCTCTTTTACATATAAGGTTCGGCCATGTCCACAGCAGGAGTATATATAACGTTCACTGACGGGATTAATTTCCTCTTTTATAGCAAGTTAAGTCACATTCTCACTATATGAAGGATGAGAGACACTGCCAACAAGTTGGGAAGACTGACAATATTTGTTCAGTAGAGCTTGACGTTACGCTATACACAGTGAAACGTCAGGGTTCGCCTACGCACCAACTATCGTTCTACCACTCATTCTAATTCCCTATATTCCGCAGATTTCGTGAGAATGTCGCCGGCAGATTATTCAACAACATCCTGACCACCTTCGGTGTATGCAGTACTGTCTGCCAGACTTCTGAGACGATCATTCAATAAGCAAAATTGGTATAATTTTGCTTTATTTATAGAGTAAATTAGAGAGCAGTATTTTATTGAATAGGAGAGATGAGAAACGCATATACAGTGTTTCGTAATATATAAAAAATGAGAAATATATAGACTTCAAGAGAGAAAGAATAAAAAATATTTAAGGGTCGAGCATATGTCCTATTGTTGCGTTAATATAATCTTAACAATGAAGATATTATAGGTGAATATAAGGTTATTATTATATATATATATAATAAATATATATATATATTATATATAATATATATATATTTATATAATATATTATATATGTTATAGTTATAAATATATTATATATGTGTGTGTGTGTGTGTGTGTGGTGTGTGTGTGTGTGTGTAGTTTTTTTTATTAGTTAATTGAATTTAGATCTTATCTACTTCTTCCGCCCATTACATGTGTATGTAACCTGTTCACCACCGGTCAAGAATACAGTGAGTCTTACAATATGGATTAAAGAAAACTCCCCGTGTACATACAGTGAGAGATACACACTTCTCAGCGTATATGCTATGAGAGATACGCACTTCTCAGCGTATACACAATGAGAGATACACACTTCCCAGCGTACATACAATGAGAGATACACAGTTCTCGGTGTACATGCAATGGGAGATGAATATCTCTCTGTGTATCTAACCTTGTTGTAATTAGGTTAGGTAAGATTTGTCAGGAAACAGGTCAAGTGTTTCCTGATGCTGGTTTTAGTCATATGATGACCCGCCACTGGAGCTTTTGGTCATCTGACCGAAGCCTTCCACTGGCCTACCCCTTCGCCCCTATAAAATTTAGTTTTTTTTTTTACTTTGTAGTAATGAAGTAATTAATGTTAATAATTAAACTATATATCTATTTAAGCAGCTTTTTATTCATATGCACCTACCATAATGACAATATTTTAACAGTAACTGTAATGGTAACTTGTGGAAATACAGAAAACCTCATAGAAATGCAGGGAACCTCGTGGATATACAGGGAAGACAATGGAAATATATGGAGTCCCAGTGGAAATGCAGGGATCCCCAATGGAAGCATTGGAGCTCCAGTGGAAATACAGGGAGCACCAATGGGAATACAGGGAGTACCAATAGGAACACAGGGAGCACCAATGGGAATACAGGGAGTACCAATGGGAAAACGACTAGGTTGAGTTTTCCTATGTTAAAAATCCACATAATGTACTGTATTTGTGCGTCATTAATGTCTATATGCCATGATCACTTTTTGAGAAAAGTGTTATACATAAGAGTTACCTAAATAAAAACGTACTTGCCTACTTATTCAAAAATAATGGTCAGCTACTATCATATTAGCTGATCAATGAGATTTAAAG